TGAAAAGTTTACATCACAAGTTAGTCGAGCCACATATGCAAAAACGAATACAAGTGCCCACACTTCAAACTGGTCTGCGCGATTCTATTACACAAATTTTGAATATGCCAGGAAGTAGTAGATCGAGTTTGACACTTGAGACTGAAGAAAGAGAAGCTGCAGGTCACCCTATCGCAGATAAAAGAAAAATTTGTGCCATATGCCCGTCAGCAAAACGAAGGATGACGAAATCTAGTTGCTACAAGTGCAATAAATCATTGTGTGGCGAACTTGATGTGTGTCACAAATGTCTTACTTCATAGTTTTTTTTACCAAAATGTTGTTTTTTTGTTGATTCTATATGTTAATTTTGATTATTTTAGTTTTTTTTCAAAGTACTGTGTTCTTTTTTTTAATAGGTAAGCACTTAAAAAAACAAATACCATTATTTGGAGCGAAAAATTAGGTCTCATTAAAAAGGCTGATTAAGTAACAAATATGTGATTTAAATAAATAAAAATGTTATATTTTTCGTAATAAATGATTATAATAAAAAAATAATGTAAAAGAAATAAATATTTTATTCAATAAAACCTTATAAACCTACTTTTTTGACAGCGTAGTCGAAACGACGAAGTTTAGTAATAAGCGTTGAAAAATAAGGTTAGTGATCTAGGGTTTGTAGTGTATCATGTTATGTCTATGGTCATAGAACATCTAACTTCTATGACGTTGGTTGTCGCGGACTTGTCAAGTCTTCACTAGTCTATGGTCTTAGTCACTGTGGAGTCTTAAAACGTGGCGCGCAAAAATAATCGATATAGTCTACTACTAGTTGTTCCGCCATTTATCCGCTGTATTCTCGCGCTTGTTGATTGTTAAATTAGATTAAAGTTTGTAGTGTTCGTGTAAGATCATTTATTATTATTTCCTACAATTATGGAAACATATCCCTTACACGCGCACAGGTTAAAGGAAATTGAAACTGCGGGTGACGATTCGCTCAAACGGTTAATGAGCACGAACAAAGACAGCTGTGAGAAAACCTGAAAGCACTTCTCTATCCCGTGCAACAAGTCTTACTAAAACAAATGTAAACAACTCTTTTGAGAAACTGAGCACTGTTTTACGCAAATACAATTTTTAACGCCGTCGAAACAGGCTGTAGCTCCGTCACCAAACCACCTAAAGTGACAGCTGAAAGAGGTTCAAAACAAATTTGTATCTGTTCTTTATTACTGCTGCTGGTGGTTTCTTACCGCCTATTTTAGTCTTTCCTAGAGTGAACTACAAAAGATATTATCTCAAATAATAGTCCGCCTGGAGTTCTAGTAGGGTTAACTTAAGCTTCTAGATGGATGACTGAAGACTGTTCCGTTAAAGCGCTTGAACATTTTGTGACATATACTAGGGTCAATTGAAAAGTCCCCGGCCTGACACATAGATGGCGGCACCAGAACTAAATCCATATGATTTTCAGTTAGTCCTAACCTTCAAAAGACGCGTCTATAAATTTGACGGCTGTCGGATCATTAGTTTGTGAATTATAGCATTTTTAGTGAAGCAACTTTTGTTATTGTGAAAAAAATGGATAAAAAGGAATTTCGCGTGTTGATAAAATATTGCTTTTTGAAGGGAAAAAATACAGT